CTCCTGCAGCTCTGGCAGCCTTGGGGCTGTGCCCACTGCCCTGGGGAGCCTGTTCAGTGCCAACCACCCTCTGGGGGAAGAACCTTTGGCTGAGATCCACCCTGAGCCTGCCCTGACACAGCTCCAGCCATTCCCTGGGGGCTGTCCCTGCTCCCCACCAGTGCCAACCCCTGCCCAGAGCTGTGTCAGCTTTCGAGGGCTCAGGTTTGTATCCCACACACAGTGCAGGATCCAGTGCTGAGTCTACAGTGATGCTGCTCCCAAATAAAAAGGATTAAGCAACTGGAACAGCTCAAACAATTGCAAGATCTCCTCCTGCAGAGGGGATGAGTCAGTGCAACATATGGCAGGGACAGATTTCTCCCACTTGAACACATTTGTTCATTACTGTTCTTTCACGTGCTCCTTAAAATGAAATTAAATCACACTCTACGAGTTATCAGATCTTTTCAGATCTTCTTTTTCTCTCACAGAAGAGGGAATTTGCAGGAAGGCTTGCTGTACCTGGGTTCTTCCCTCCCTGTTCGCCACCACCATTTACCTTAAAGCCAGCTCTCCAGGACACCAGGAAACCATTCCAAACACATATGCCAAGCAGGCCCAGCAGTGCCAGCGTTCCCTATTTTGCAGCCTGCTCTGCATTAGCATTTTGCACAGTTATTACAACACCCAGTGTTTCTGGGATCTCTTCCAGCCTCACCACCTTTCCTCCCCATCTGTGGTTCCTAATTTTTACCGACCCTGCTCCATTGGCTCTTGCAGCAGCACGAGGAGGCTCCTGCCTGGATCAGCTGCCCTGAGGCACCTCTGAGGGGCAGTTTTAGCCCCCCCAGTGTGGGGCACGTGCGTGTCCCAAGCCCAGGTGACCCAAACAAGGACACCTTCCTTTGTACTCTCTCAGATTGCTGCAGGAGAGGAGCCCACAGCAAAAACGAGCCCCATTTTATTATTCTGTGCAGGAACATGAAGCAGAAAAATCCCGTCCTGCTCCTGCTCTGCTGTTTGACCTCTCAGAGGATTTTTAAACACAATTTCCCACCCTCAGAGCGAATTCAGAGCTGAGCTCTGAGAGGGGCATCATCCCTCCCATCCTCCCGCACCCCAGCTCTGCCCAGCCAAGCCCTCAAGGTCTGCTCCGAGATTTGCAACAAAGAGAACCAGAACTGACCAGAGCAGTTCTAAATAAAAATATATATATATAGTTATAAAGCTTTATTCCCAAGGCAAGAGACAGGAGCTGCCTGTGTTGCTTGCCTGCTCAGTTCTTTAGTTTCTCAGCCTCTTGGTGAAAGCAGAACATTTGAGTTCTGCCCTTGGGTGCTCCCAAAGGTGCTGGGTTCACCTACAACACTGACTAAACCTGCCAGTCCTGGGTCATCCCAGCACCACCTGTTTCAGCAGGTTTGGGGATTTGTTTGGGTTTATCCTCTTTTGAGGTCAGAAGAATTATTTCAAAACTGTAAAATTAATTATAATGTCATTTTCCAGCAGCCTGCCTCCAGTCCCACAGTCCCACCATTGTCCTTCTGTGCTTTAGGTAAGTAATTCATGTCAATTTTCTTAAATTTCTGGAATATCTGTGTAAGCTATCTGGAAATTCATATATTGGAGTAACCTGAGTGCCTGTGTACACATCCACAAGTCAGTTCCAGAGAGATCAATACAAATCAAATCCAAAAATTACACAAAGAAAGACCAAAGCTCTACCTGCTAAACAAAGCCCGAACTGTCAGCGTAAATTCCTTAAAAATTTCTGGGTTTATGAGGCATTTATAAACAGTTCTGCTGTTTTATCCCTGCACTAACCATGACTGAACCCCAGAGAAAGGCCCCAGAATTTGTTCTCTTGGTGCCAACGTGAGACAACCAGGAGGACTCAGTGGATCTCCATCCTCCCAACAAGGCTCACGTGCCCTGATGTCCCAACCTGCAGCTCCCAGACCCTGAGGGCAGGAGGTTCTTTGGGAACCCTCATTTATGTCCCAATTTGTCCCACAAAAGACCTTGAACACACAGATTATCTTCCTATTAAGGAACCCTATTGGATTTTTCCGCGTTCAAGGCAAATAAACCCTCAGTCCCTTCAGGTGCTCCATTTGCTGCAAAGAACAGCATCAACAGGACAATCAGCCCAGAGTTTTTCTAACTCCTTGAAGAATTATCTCCTATTAGATGGGTAATCAAGAAATTAGATAATCAAGAACAAGCACATCAAAAGTAATGAAAAAAAATTAGGTGTTGTCAAATTAATTCATGTTTAGCCTATTTAGCAAGGCAGGGTCTTTATATTGCATCCTACAAAGGATGAAATCACAGAATCATGGGATAGTTTGGGTTGGAAGGGACTTGAAAGATCATCTCATTCCACCCCTTGCCATGGGCAGGGACACCTTCCACCAGCCCAGGTTGCTCCAACCCGGCCTTGGACACTTCCAGGGCTGGGGCAGCCACAGCTTCTCTGGGCAACCTGTGCCAGGGCCTGCCCACCCTCCCAGCCAGGAATTCCTTCCCAATATCCCATCTAACCCTGCCCTCTTTCACTTTGAAGCCATTCCTCCTTGTCCTGTCACCCCATGTCCTTGTCCCAAGTCCCTCTCCATGGCTGGCCCCTCAAGGCACATTTAAGGCTCAAGACAGATGATGTAGCTCAGCAGGTTAAATATGATGAGCAAGTCCCAAGTTTCCCCCTTGTTTTCTGGCATTCAGATTGCCACATGACTGTTAACTTGCCATTCACTCACCCAGAAAGTGATGCCAAATTAAAAACAGAATCATTCCCCTCCAGTAAATGAGGGTGACTCAATAATGTCTCCATCGCTCCACACACAGGAGGGATCAAACCCATGGAAAGAGATTGGCATTTATAAATAACCTGTTAACACTGAATTCTAGTGGAGAAATCCCAGGGAAACAAACAGAAAACAAATCCATCACCCAGAGATCTTTGATGTGTTTTGCAGAAAGCTGCTGGGTGAGACACTTGCAATTATTTCCCAAGTAAAATGTCCTAAGAGTTCAACGTGGGAAAGGAACAATTTGTCTCCAGCAGTGAAATGTCCGAGTAAAAGCTGACACTGAACTGACAATCTACTTTCTAGAAGCTTCTGCAGATGTGAAAAGGAGCCTTGGGGGGACCTTTCTGCTCTCTGCAACTCCCTGAAAGGAGTTTTGGGACAGGGGGAGGTCGGGGAAGGAGGAACAGGACAAGAGGAAGCAGCCTCAAGCTGTGCCAGGGGAGGGTCAGGTTGGATAGTGGGGGAAATGTCTTCCCTTATGCTCCTGATCCTCCCAGCCCCACACCACCATCTCCTCTGCCATCACATCTCAGGCCCCCATTTGCAAAAGCAAAGTTGATTTTACAGTGCTCTGGGAGAGCTGGGGGTTTAGTTGGAGAAGAGAAGGATCCAGGGACACCTGAGAGCCCCTTGCAGGGCCTAAAGGGGCTCCAGGAGAGCTGGAGAGGGACTGGGGACAAGGCATGGAGGGACAGGACAAAGGGAATGGCTTCAAACTGAAAGAAAGCAGGTTTAGATTGGATATCAGAAGGGAATTCCTGGCTGGGAGGGTGGGCAGGCCCTGGCACAGGTTGGGCAGAGAAGCTGTGGCTGCCCCATCCCTGGGAGTGTCCAAGGCCAGGCTGGACGGGGCTTGGAGCAACCCGGGCTGGTGGAAGGTGTCCCTGCCCACGGCAGGGGGTGGGATGAGGTGATCCTTAAGAAGGATCTCAGGGAAGAAGGAGAAGGAGAAGGAGAAGGAGAAGGAGAAGGAGAAGGAGAAGGAGAAGGAGAAGGAGAAGGAGAAGGAGAAGGAGAAGGAGAAGGAGAAGGAGAAGGAGAAGGAGAAGGAGGAAAAGGGACAGTGGTTCCCTCTTGTCCTGCACATGGAACTCTATCTGGAGTGTGCTGTGA